GGGGAGCTGAACTTCGAGTTTTCATTTGCCAAAGAGTGTACAGAGGTTTGGAGGGGTGTCCAAGGGGGCCCTGTCTCCAGTAGAGGACTCTTGACTTTAACAAGTATAAAAACCTGAACAGCAGTTCCCTGCTGCCCTTGCCTGTAAGTGACTCTGTAGCTCACATATTCCAATCATATTTGTACATATGCTGGCACCTGACTGTTCGCTATTGTGCTCTGCCTTTCGTTTGTTGCATTGTTTCCTGGTCATTGCTAGCTCCACTGAAGTCTGACTGTTTAAGCACGTGAGAAATACAACTGCACTGGGCACATAACCAGTTTCTGTGGTTGGAACATAGTTTGGGCCAGAGATTTAGTACCCTGATCATGCTTCCTATCAGATAGCAGGAAGAGTGCAGCACTAACAAATAGATCCTAGTTGGGGATCATTACCGACAAGGACTGACATCAGTGCACATCGCTGAGTTTGTCACAGTTACTGTTTGTTCAAGAGAAATCCAGGGCTGGGCCAAAAGGGGTGCTAAAGGGCAGGACTACAGTGTGGGGAGAGGGGGAAATGTGCCTGGATCCAGGCTACACTGCCCCTGAGCGCCATGAATTCCCTCACTTTTAAAAGCACTCCATGCACTCACAAGAGTGGCCCAAGTTTCACACGACTCTTCTTAATCAGGTGCCATTTTGCCCCACTCAGTGTCCTCACTAAATAGGAGCAAGGCCTTGCCCACTCTCAGAGGAACTAGAAGGAAAGAGCCCTTGACTGCAGAGCAGGATCAGCTCTGGCTAGGCATCCCAAGTCATAAATGTGGCTGGTGGTAGCGAGGGAAGGGGGTTGGTTCTGAGAAGCCAGCAACCAATTGTAGCATCCATCTTGCACAAGCCAAGTATAGAATACAAGCTACAACTCACGCCCGGCAGTACGTAATAGAGGGCACAATGGCCCCTCTTCTTCCCTTAACGTACTACACATGGAAATGTGCTGAAACCCACCACTTCTGCCATAGGCGTTTGGTAGACAGCCATAGTTTTGTTTCCCCTTTGTTAAATTCCATCCACGTACTGCAGGATCTCACTGCAAGGAAACCTATTCCTCCTGCAGATCCCCCTCCCAATATTGTCTGTCTTGATAGTTGGTGCTAAGGTAACTGGTCTCTTGTTGTGCAGTTTGCCCTAATTCAGCATCACTCCTAGGAGTGCTCCATCGTACGGGCTCCCTGCTGCGAGGTGCTGGGCTCTCCAGCCCTTGCTCCAGCAAGACAATCAAAGCACAAGCTGAACTTTAAGCAGATGACTAGGCCTATGGAGGTCAGTGTGGCTAGGCATATGCTTTCAGTTATGAGCATACTAAAGGGCAGAGCTGATCGGGAGTTTCCCAGCAATGATTTTCCAACAGAAAATGCAGTCACTGATAAACAAGTTTTCCAAGAACGCATTTGATTTGGCAGAATTCTTTTGATTTTCCATAGGCAAAATCTACACAAAATATTTCATTTTAGGTAAGTTCAATTTAGCTGAATTGAACCACTTCATTTTGTGTCAGTTCAACATTGAACTGCATTTGTCAATAGTGCCACACTGCCTCATGGAAGTTGTAGTTTGAGTGCTTCATGCGTCCACTCCCTCTTATTGGCTGAAGTTCTAGACTGAACTAGATCTCCCATGATGCACTGTGGCCATCCCCCTGTGACAGGTTGCCCCCCTTCAGATGCCACCTGGTGTGCTGAGATACCACTGAGCCCACCTGTTATGCCAGTTTGGGCACCCTTTTTACATGTCTTGCTGAGTCAGGCTATTAAGCCTCCTCCAACACACGCACACAGGCAGGGCCACACCCAACTGCAGAATGAAACAGACACTGAGATCAGTTCTGGGAAGGCTCAGCTTAAGGGACTTGCCCCAGCACTCAGGTGTCCACCTCCCTTCGAATGCAGACTCAAAGATATATTATGAAATCCGCCTCCTCCCTCAACGTGGAGGAAGGTATACACAACTTCTCGCCCCCGCCCAGTTAGAAATGACAGAAACTGGGTTCAATAATAAACTAAACAAATTTTATTAACTATAAAAGGCAGATTTTAAGTGGTAAAAGGGGTAACAAACAGAACAAAGCAGATTACTAAACAAATTAAACCAAATACACAAACTAAGCTAGTTTCACTAAAAACAATTGGTTACAAATAATAGCAGGTTTAAAACAAATAAAAGGAAGTATTTCTTCACACAATGCACAGTCAACCTGTGGAACTCCTTGCCAATAGATATTGTGAAGGCCAAGACCATAATAGGGTTCAAAAAAAGAACTAGATAAATGGAGGATAGGTCCATCAATGGCTATTAGCCAGGATGGACAGGAACGGTGTCCCTAGCTTCTGTTTGCCAAAAGCTGGGAAAGAGCAACAGGGGATGGATCACTTGATGATTACCTGTTCTGTTCATTTCCTCTGGGGCACCTGGCACTGGCCACTGTCAGAAGACAGGATAATGGTCTAGATGGACTTTTGGTCTGATCCAGTAGGGCCATTCTTATGTTCTCACCCTAGATATTGCTGCAGGCAGAATACAGAAAGTCTTGAAAGGCAGACGCACTAGTCTCCAGCTTGAAACCTTAGTTATTACTCACAAGCTAGATGCCCTTCCAGCTTGGGTTCAACCCTTCTGCCCCCAGTTCAGTTCTTGTTTCCACATGTTTTTTCAGTGTCTCTTTGGGTGGGGAGGCAGAGGAGAGAACCATGATGTTGTCACTCCCCTGCCTTAGGGTACGTCTACACTTACCGGAGGGTCTGGCGGCAGGCAATCGATGTTCTGGAATCGATTTATCACGTCTGGTTTAGACGCGATAAATCGATCCCAGAAGTGCTCGCCGTCGACGCCGGTACTCCAGCTCAGCGAGAAGAGTACGCTGCATCGACGGGGGAGCCTCCCTGCCACGTCTGGACCCGCGGTAAGTTCGGACTAAGGTACTTCGAATTCAGCTACGTTATTAACGTAGCTGAATTTGCGTACCTTAGTCCGAAGTGGGGGGTTAGTGGGGACCAGGCCTTACATAGCTCTTGTGCAAGGTGGGAACCCTTTATCTTCTAGCGGAAAACCACTGGCATTCCAAAAGGGGAGGAGAGGTATCCAGTACCAGGTGACTCGGACCCATGTCTCTGCATGGCTGTGGCAGCCATTGCTTGTAGGCTGTCTCCAGCATCCACAGGAAGACTAAGCTCTTTCATAGTCCATTGTCTCTGCTAATGGCCCATTAGCCCTGTCTGGCTTTTCCATTGTTGTACCTAAGCACTGGTTTGGGGTGATACCTAAAGTAACACATTTGAAATACAGATACATAGTTAATATTCCTAACTTCAGATACAGAAATGATGCAGGCATCCAAATTGGATAATCACATTCAGTAAATCATAACCTTTCCAATGATACCTTACAAGACTCATCTTGCATAAAGTACATCTCAGTTATGTCATATTCATATCAGCATGTTTTCATAAAGAATATGGAGTGAAACGTCACACACATCCCTGACTGGGATACATGGACGTTACATGACTGTAGAGCATCATGAGAAATATAGTCTGACCCAGGAGCCTGGCCTTGGTGAATAGCAGCAAGAGGCACCTGAACTACAACTCCCATGAGGCACCACAGTACCAATGGCAAACTTAGTTTAATATTGAACTGATGCAAATGAAGCATTTTGGCTTAGGACAGTCACAAACATTTTATTTCAATCAATAATGTTGAAACATTTTATTTTGACATTTTCAGATTGAAATTTTGGGGAACTTTTCATTCCATGATGAATTTTGATATTGACTTTTTGTCCCAATTGGGGATGAAAATGTGAAAATATCAGAATTTCTCATACAACAAATTCTGATTTTCACTTAGCTCTACGTAAGTGCTTGGCTGGATCAAAGCCAGAGTGCTCAGCATTGGCAGGACTGAGGCCTTTGAGCACTGCTCAGATCGTGCCAGAATAGTCTCCTCTGAGGTGAATTTCCCCCTTAGAGTACAACCTGTTATCTAGGGGCAGCAATTACAGCTGGCTTTCCCCACTCAGCTTATATCATAGAATATCAGGGTTGGAAGGGACCTCAGGAGGTCATCTAGTCCAATCTGCTGCTCAAAGCAGGACCAATCCCCAGACAGATTTTTACCCTGCGTGGCTGGGCTGAGCCTGGTGACCGGATTCACCGTCAAGGCTGGAGTGAAGCAGGAAAAAGGTAGGGTCTCAAACTTTCTGACACTCAAGCCTCTCTTGGCCAGAGGGGCCAGCAGTGAAGAGGTGCAGGAAGTTTCACTGATCAGTTACTGCTTTGCCTTTCTATTTTTAAAAGGACAGTGTATGGATGTTCCAGAGGAAGAAATTAATGTACCACTAGAGACGGAGCAAGTCCCCACTAGGCATCTACTATCTGGAGGTAACATTTGCATTCAATGGCAGTGACATTACAGGGTTTGTGCCAAGCCAGAGAGTGGATAGTCACGTGTGAGCACAGCCCTGAGACCCTGCAACAGCGCCAGCCCTTCCCGTGGGGAGCAAGATGGGTGGATGCCTGGCTGTACTGAGGGAGCAGAACAGTGGTGGTGATTTCCTGCCCCACCCCCAGGGGAGATGGGCTGGGGAAGATCAGGAAGGAGGGGTGTGCGCTGGGTGGAAGGCATGTGCCCTTTAGGTCATGCTTGTGGCACAGTATTGGAGCCTGCAATCACACCACTCTGCTGCTGCTCAGGTCTGCGCTAGCTGGCGACGTTCTCTAGGGGCTTTCACAGCCAGGTCTCCATGGGCCAGCACTGAGGGATTGCTTGCATGTGGCCAAAGCAGCTGGTACACTTACACAATGACACGAAAAGCCCATGGTGCCCCCAGCGAACGCTTGCTCACACATCACAGAGCTGGCCAAGCGTCTTCGGTCCCAGCTCCTGTCAGTCTGGCCATGGGAGGGGCCCGATGGAAAGGAGAGATGGGCAGTGGCTGGGGAACCCTCTCACACCCTTCACTCAGCTCCGGGGCTTAGTTCGCAACTGTGGCTGCCCTTCCCCATTGTCTCCTGTCTGTTTGAGCCCAGACACAGCCTTCCCCTTGGGGGTCCGGTATTTGCTCTTCGGGCTGTAAAGCAGGTTTTTCTGGAAGATCCTTGGGATGTTCCCCTGGTACAAGAGCAGGGCTGCGAGCATCCCTGGAAGCAGAAACAGGGGGATTAGGCCATGTCATTTACCATCTCCCCCACCCATCCGTTGACATGCACTACCCAACCTCTCCTCTCCTGCGGTCAGATGGCGCCCGCCCCAACCGGGCCAAAAGCCGCTGGAGTCCCTGCTACTAGCACATGGCACTGTCAAGCGCCAGAACAGCAAGCGGATTTAACAGAGAAATGTTCCACCTGCAAAAGCGGGGCTGGGATTGGACCAGATCACAAAAGAAAGGCCGAAGTGAATAAGTTTTCTTTGGAAGCAGCCGTCTGGTGCTGCAGAATATAAGCTTCATTTCAGAAATTACATATCTGGGGCTTATGGCTGTGAGAATAACCTTTAAATTACAGACTGAGTGAAACTGCCACAGCATGGTCTTCCTGAGTCTGCAGACAGCCTGCAACAACATAGCTCCATGAGGTGTGATCATCACCATGTCATTAACCCCATCATCTCTCCCGCCCCTCTCAGTCCCATCTGCCTCATGCTTTGCAAAGTGTCCCGTCGTCTCCCCCCCGAGGCCAGTGTTTGGCAAGTGACATTTAATGTGGCTCAGTTTGGTGTAGCAGAGTTCCAGCCTGGCTGATGGGGAGGAAGGGTGTTGGGAAGGGCAAGGAGCATCTGGTTCCAATGGCAAGACTAGCCTCCCCCCATAATAAATAAGAGCACAAGGAATTGCCACATACCAGCAGGAGTTTCCGATTTCTATGCTGAATACTTGTCCCTTTCATGCAGATTCACTAACATGGCAGACATGCTAGGGAGGCTTCACCCCAGCCGCATACTCTGCCCCACTCTCTAGGTTGTGGCCCAGCATGGCCAGTCCGCAATAGTTTCTGCACCTATCGGTACCCTGAACACAACTCACCTGTGAGGGGTCCCAGCCAGTAAACCTGGACGTACTCTTGCAGGATGTTCCCAGAGCAGTGAAAAGTAACCATGGAGGCCAGGGTGGGGTTGAAAAAGGCCCCTGTGAAAGGCCCAGCTGTGAAAGAAGAAAACAAATAGTGTAATGGGTCTCACTTGTTTGACAAGTATTTGAACAAATGGGTGTTGGGCAACAGGCAGGATTAGATAAGTTCTATTGCCAGAACTTTGTGTTTGAACTTTCTGAAAAAGCAGAGTCAAGTCACCCTGAACAACCTTAACTCAGCCCAATGCCTCCATATCAAATAGATACTCGTCCCTCCCCCAGCCTCCTAGCTGCATGATGTCCAACCTCTGATACTGACACAGATCAACCATGAACCCTACTAGCACCGGACAGCCTGACCCTCACGTCCACTGTGGCTAATGCTGCAGAGTATACATTACCTAACTGCAAGGGTAAACAGCACATAAGACATCTGCAAGGAAAGGTGATGAGTGAGAAGTAAAGGGTTAAACTGGCTGTAAAACATCACCACCTAGTAGTGGAAGGTGAAATGACTGCTGAATGGTGTTCCTGGTGTGCTAGTGCTACTGTCTTGTCAAGGAGCTAGAACTAAAGATGGCATCTGGAGGAGACCCCACTGCCACAGATGAGCGGGTGGTGATGTGCAGGTTCATATGTTGAGTATGTGCAGCATAGCAGGGTTGAGTGAGCGAAATTGTTAAGAGATGACCTGATCACAGTCTACAAGAACCTATGTGGGAAAGATTTCTGACAGGAGACACCTTTTCAGTCGATAAGAAAAAGGCGTAACAAGGGCCAATGCTGGGAAGCTGAAACTAGACAAATTCAGACTAGAAGTACAGGGTTTTTAAAAAAACCCACTGTAGGTAAATGACTGGAACTGACTTGCCTAGAGAGGCAGTGGATAATCCATGACTTTGAATGTTTAAAATCAAGATCTGGTTATTTTTCTACATGGATTAGGCACAGGAATCCCTGAGTGAAATTCTTTGGCTTGTATTACACAGGGGGTCTGGCTAGATGGTCATAATGGGCCCTTCTGACCTTAACATCTGCAAGTCAATGAACTACAAATCCTGGAGATGTATGGTGTATAGGCAGTGCTTAATTTGTGCTGGGACGTGCCAGGGCTGAGCCCTGGCAACCCTGAGTTTCATCTACGCTCCTTTCTTGTATTTACACCCAGATATTATGGGGAAAAAGAAACGTAGAAAGCTCCTCACCTGTGTAAGCCAGGGTGGTCACAGTCACTGCCAGGACAGGCGCTCTGTACAGAGGGTGGCTATGCTGAAACTTGAGAGCCACCAAATGGAAAAAGAAAGAACAGACGCCTTCCACAAAGATGCCATGGTACAAAGAGGTATGGATAGAGGAACTGCAATCCAGAGCCATTAGATTCTGGATGAGGTGGAAGTCAGTCAGCTCCCAAGACCAGTAGTGCGTGGTGAGAATCCCAGCTGCCTCCATTCCCACAAACTGGACCAGAAGTTTGAAAGCAGTAGCCACAAAGGAGGAATCCATGACCAGGAATTCTTGGAGAGAGACAGTGGGGTTAGCAGAAGCTCCATCAAAAGACACACCATGAATCAAGTAGATAATGAAGAGGAGGGTCAGAATCACATCTGGGCCAAAGCCACCACCCCAGGGACCAATCTCCATCAGCATCCTCAGCTCAAGGGAGCAAGCACACAACTGTAATGAGCTGACCAGTTCTCTGACAAGACCACGGTACACTCCAAGAGGCAGAAGTCTCTTGGAAACCTGCCTCATCACCTCAGAAATAGCCACAACTGAGAGAAAGAAGGCAATGGAAACATTCAAACCCGCCATAACAAGCCCAACAGAGATGGCAAAGCATAAGTGTCACCGTCCAAAGAACAGATCAACCTTTTCTTCCTCCTCTTTATAAAGGCACTTTTAAGCCAACGTGGCACAGCCTGACAGGCCCCCAGTCAGCAGGGTCAAGGGAGTCTTCGGGAAAATCCACATGTGCAGCTATGCAAAGCCATTAAGGAGCTAACAGTGAGATTCTCCTACCTACAGTATCAGCTGCGGCCAGTGTTAATGTATGCTGCTCTCTGCTAGCCCCAGCAGCCTGCCTGTCCCTGTGCCTTCACCTCTAATCAGAAGGGAGACAACCACAGACCGCATGTGACTCTCATATCCTCTCTCCTCCTTCTGCTTTAACCATCAGCACTTGCTGCAATTAGAGCACCAACAACCTGCAGCCTGGGGTTTGTTCAGAATTTGTCTCCAAAGTTACGCTGCTGGTTTGTTTTACAACTGTATCTAGCAAGTGGGTCCAGCAGCTCTCACTCCATGGCAGAGAATCTGGGAAAGCCCAGCTCCTGCCCCAGGTTTATTATTTGTAAGGCTGTGTTATGAGCCTTTGACTGGTTTGTTCTGGCCCAGCGGGTCATTCACTGCATAGATTTGCTAACTGGGGCAGAAAACAGCACTTATGTCGTCTTTGCTTCAGGTGGGCAGAATATTTGGGCGGCTTCTCTCTTTATTTCAGTGTTCAGGATTGGCTATTGTACAGCACCTTAATGGTTTTTAGGTAGTTAGAAGCAGGGAGCTCGCAGTGAAAGCCCTGCAAAGTCAACGAGGTGGTGATGAAATGGAAAGGCAGCACAGAGCTTGGGTATGTGTAGGGAAGGAGAACAGATAGCAATCTCTTTGCATACCCAGGCCAGGGAAGGCTAACTACATAGGATCCTGAAGAGTCTCATCACTGCATTCATCCTTTTAGGTCTCCTCCCTCCTCAGGGTCTAAAAATACAACTGTATCCTCCAGGCTTGAGAAGTGAAGGGCTCTCCTCTGAGAACCAATGTTCCATGTTGATCAGGTGGCAGGACACACTACAGAGTCCAGGTTTATCTTTCATTGCCTCAGGGCCGGTGCAAGGATATTTTGTGCCCTAGGCGAAACTTCCACCTTCTGCCCCCTCACCCCCTCTCCTCCCCTCCCCCGGAAGCATCGCTTATTATAAACTTTCAAAAATGAATACTGCATAATGTGGCATTGTTCATTAGAATTAATACACGTTCGGCTTGAAAATTTATTAATTTCATTATTTAGTCTACATATGGACGTGCACAAGTCCATGGGGCTGGATGTACTGCATCCGAGGGTGCTAAAGGAGTTGGCAGATGAGATTGCAGAGCCATTAGCCATTATTTTTGAAAACTCATGGCGATCGGGGGAGGTCCCGGATGACTGGAAAAAGGCTAATGTAGTGCCCATCTTTAAAAAAGGGGAGGAGGAGGATCCGTGGAACTACAGGCCAGGCAGCCTCACCTCAGTCCCTGGAAAAATCATGGAGCAGGCCCTCAAGGAATAAATTATGAAACACTTAGAGGAGAGGAAAGTGATCAGGAACAGTCAGCATGGATTCACCAAGGGCAAGTCATGCCTGACTAATCTAATTGCCTTCTATGATGAGATAACTGGCTCTGTGGATGAGGGGAAAGCAGTGGATGTGTTATTCCTTGACTTTAGCAAAGCTTTTGATACGGTCTCCCACAGTATTCTTGCTGCCAAGTTAAAGAAGTATGGGCTGGATGAATGGACTGTAAGGTGGATAGAAAGCTGGCTAGATCGTCGGGCTCAACGGGTAGTGATCAATGGCTCCATGTCTAGTTGGCAACCAGTTTCAAGCGGAGTGCCCCAAGGATCGGTCCTGAGGCCGGTTTTGTTTAATATCTTTATTAATGATCTGGAGGATGGTGTAGACTGCACTCTCAGCAAGTTTGCAGATGACACTAAACTGGGAGGCGTGGTAGATACACTAGAGGGTAGGGATTGGATATAGAGGGACCTAGACAAATTAGAGGATTGGCCCAAAAAAAAAAACCTGATGAGGTTCAACAAGGACAAGTGCAGAGTCCTGCACTTAGGACGGAAGAATCCCATGCACTGCTACAGACTAGGGACCAAATGGCTAGGTAGCAGTTCTGCAGAAAAGGACCTAGGGGTCACAGTGGACGAGAAGCTGGATATGAGTCAACAGTGTGCTCTTGTTGCCAAGAAGGCTAACGCCATTTTGGGCTGTATAAGTAGGGGCATTGCCAGCAGATCGAGGAACGTGATCGTTCCCCTTTATTTGACATTGGTGAGGCCTCAACTGGAGTACTGTGTCCAGTTTTGGGCCCCACACTACAAGAAGGATGTGGAAAAATTGTAAAGAGTCCAGGGGAGGGCAACAAAAATGATTAGGGGTCTGGAGCAGATGACTTATGAGGAGAGGCTGAGGGAACTGGGATTGTTTAGTCTCCAGAAGAGAAAAATGAGGGGGGATTTGATAGCTGCTTTCAATTACCTGAGGGGGGGATTCCAAAGAGGATGGAGCTCGGCTGTTCTCACTGGTGGCAGATGACAGAACAAGGAGCAATGGTCTCAAGTTGCAGTGGGGGAGGTCTAGGTTGGATATTAGGAAACACTATTTCACTAGGAGGGTGGTGAAGCACTGGAATGCGTTACCTAGGGAGGTGGTGGAGTCTCCTTCCTTGGAGGTTTTTAAGGCCCGGCTTGACAAAGCCCTGGTGGGATGATTTAGTTGGGAATTGGTCCTGCTTTGAGCAGGGGGTTGGACTAGATGACCTCCTGAGGTCCCTTCCAACCCTGATATTCTATGATTCTATGATATTTAATAAAAATAAATGAATAACCTGACAGCGTTGACATTGTTATTGTTTTCACTTTGCACAACATAGCATTGATCTTAAAATAAATCACATACATTATACACAACACACTGTCACTTCCGTCCTTTATTCTTTCATATCAAAATCTACTACATTTTATTCTACCTTTATAATATCCAATTATTGTTGTTAATAAAATTTATAAAATTAGAGCCTTGCATGGTGTCAAGTATCAGGGGGTAGCTGTGTTAGTCTGTATCCACAAAAACAACAAGGAGTCCGCTAGTAACTACACACCACACACCACCACAGCACAGAAACCAATCCCTGTAGCAAACCTCGTTGCCTACTCTGTCCCCAGATCTACTCTGGCGACACCATCAGAGGACCCAACCACATCAGCCACACCATCAAGGGCTCATTCACCTGCACATCTGCTAATGTGATATATGCCATCATGTGCCAGCAATGCCCCTCTGCCAGGTACATTGGCCAAACCAGACAGTCCCTACGTAAAAGAATAAATGGACACAAATCGGACATCAGGAATGGTAACATACAAAAGCCAGTAGGTGAACACTTCAATCTCCCTGGTCATTCTATTACAGATTTAAAAGTCACTATTCTTGAACAAAAAAAACTTCAGAAACAGACTTCAAAGAGAAACAGCAGAACTAAAACTCATTTGCAAATTTAACACCATTAATCTGGGCTTGAATAGGGACTGGGAGTGGCTGGCTCATTACAGAAGCAGCTTTGCCTCTCCTGGAATTGACACCTCCTCATCAATTATTGAGAGTGGACTACATCCACCCTGATTGAATTGGCCCTGTCAACACTGGTTCTTCACTTGTGAGGTACTCCCTTCTCTTCATGTGTCATTATATAATGACTGCATCTGTAACTTTCACTCCGTGCATCTGAAGAAGTGGGTTTTTTTAACCAGGAAAGCTTATGCCTAAATAAATCTGTTAGTCTTTAACAGACTAACCGGACTCCTTGTTGTATTTATAAAATTAGAATGGTGGATACTCCGTCATACTGGGGGTCTGGGTTTGGTGGGGAAGGGAAGCAGACTGGGTTGAGTCAGTGGGGTATCGGGTAAACGGGGAAGGGAAGCAGACTGGGTTTGGTCAGTGGGGGTTCGGGTTTGGCTGGGGAGTGCAAGGGGAGCAGACCGGGTTCAGTCACTGGGAGGACTGGGTTTGTCTGGAGAGTGGAAGGGAAGCAGACCGGGTTTGAGTGTGGAGAGGGCACAATCTGGGTTTGGCCGGGGGGCGGTGTAGGATTCAAAGAGCTGCAAGGTGAAATGGGCGTTCTCCTCTCCAGTCCCTGGCATGCAGCAGCGGGCCAAGTGCAATTGCAACAGTAGGGTTACCATATCTATTAAATAAAAAAAGAGGACCCTCCACGGGCCCTGGCCCCGCCCATTTCCCCACCCCCAGCTCCCCCCAACTCCGCCCCCTCCTCCCTCCCACTCCCAGCCACGGGGAAAGGGCTGCCCGAGCGCTACCGGCTTCACAGTTTGCCAGGCAGCCCCCAGACCCTGCGCCCCCGGACGGCGCTTGCCCAGCACAGCTGGAGCCCGGGAGGGGAAGCGCCCAGCTGGGGGTGCAGGGTCTGGAGGCTGCCCGGCAAACCGTGAAGCCGGTAGCGCTCGGGCAGCCCGACTCTGTTTAAGAGCCCCATGCCCGGCTCTTAAACAGAGTCGAAGAGTCAGGGGAGGAGCAGAGCCGCGGAGGCTCTGCTCCTCTGCTGACTCTTCGGCTCTGTTTAAGAGCCGGGCTGCCCGAGCGTGCCTCCGGACCCTGCGCCGCCGGAGCCCGGGCGGGGAAGTGCCCGCCCGGCGGCTGGGGTCCGGAGGCAAGGGGGCTGCCTGAAGCCCATAGCGCTCGGGCAGCTCGGCTCTTAAACAGAGCCGAAGAGTCAGGGGAGGAGCAGAGCCGCCATTTTCCTGGACATGTTCGGCTTTTTGGCAATTCCCCCCGGACGGGGGTTTGAGTGCCGAAAAGCCGGACATGTCCGGGAAAAAAGAGGACGTATGGTAACCCTACGCAACAGGGCAATGGGAACGTGTCGCCTGCTTTGCCTTCACGAGTCCATCCTGCACCCGGGCTGGGGAGTTGAATGCTGGTCTCTCACTCTGGGAGGGGGGCGTGGGGCAGGCAGGACTGCGCGGCCCT